TGAATTGCCAATGTGAATCAATGATTGAATTTAGCTCTCAATTTTGGATTCAAGATTGAAATCTGAATGTTTTGATTCACCATTTAGATTCGTGATTATCTCCACGAGCGCATGTAAACGCCGGCGCCCTTCCTCCTAGAAGCCCGGGGTAATTCTTGATTAGGAGCGTTGCGTGCATTCAAAATTGCCTGCCTGCATGGCGTCTGTCCCTTCAATCGAGTCGGGAGTGGAGCATGTACAGCAGGTACCGTGGCTCGCGGTGGTGCATGAGCTTGCTGCATCAAATTCAATCACGAATGGCGGCAGGTACCTCGTCTCGCTCCGATCAATCACATTCAGAACTTGGCCTTTCATCAACTCCTCTTGATCGAGGAGCAATCGTCTGTTCTTGCTCTTTCCTAGTAGGCGAGCGGCATCGCTGTTGCTCCTCAAAGTCTTTGGCTGCAACCATGATCCAAGCATCCAGCCCCTACGTCTCGAGTGGCATGGCGAGTAGCTCATCCAACTCGAGCAACCAAAATGGGTCCAGCCATCCGACATACGAGGTAGCAGGAGCAGGATCGAGCCAAGCTGGGACGACGAACAGCGCAGGCGGACAGGGAGGTCCGTGGATGCGGTACCGGCCAAGCCTTCGACCTGCCACCACCCCTTCTCCGGCTCTGCTCAACGTGACTGGTGCTGCAGGATCCATGAGCCATCCGCATCACTCTTGCACCTCTCAACATCCTGTAGACCACCATTCATCCAACTCTGCTCATGCCGAAGGAGCAGTCACGAGCCACGTGCCCGGTTCGGCACCCTTATCTCACACCGTCACGAGCCCAAGCTCCGCTATCAACGCTGCTGCTGCTCCTCCCCCACCACCACCACCACCTCTCTTTGGCATCGGCTCGCTCGGCACAGGTCGTAGTCAACCGCTAGCCCCAAGTCTCACAACCACGACAACGAACGGCGAGGCGCTGACCTCTCCATACAGTCCCAAGCGTCGTGCAGCTCATCTTTCCGGGCCTCGTCAGCGGCACGACGCCCAGCAGCTCAGGTCTCACGCCTCCAATGGCGAAGTCAGCTTCGCTTTGAATCCCGAATTTTCAAAGGATGCGGAGAATCGCGGCAATGTCAAAATTACTTGTGGTGGTGTGCGGTTCTATCTGCACAAGGAGTGAGTTGAGAAGCTGGGCACAGATCCCCCTTTTGACCGCATGACGGCGCCAGGCACTTACTGACGCTTGCTGCCACGCAGCGTGCTGTACTACGCCTCTCCTTTCTTCCGCGGTCTGCTCCAAGGTGGCTGGAGCGAAAATGAAGTGGTCTGCTCGGACGAAGACGATGCATTATCGACGACGGCGACGGAGCCTTGTTCAGAGCTGCAGCACAGCGCTCAGCCAGCGCCCACATCCGACGTTCCGACCACTTCGGAGAGGATTTCATCGCAGGCGCGACTTTTGCAGCCGTCCGCTTCCAGCCGTGAAGCAGAATCCCCTCTTCCTTTGGCCCAGAGGGACACGACCATCGAAGCCTCGCAAGGGGACAAGGTAGACGGAGAGCTGAGTTTGCCCTCCCCTCGGGGTCACGCATCACCCAGAGCATCATTTCACACAGCGCATCACAGCTTACTTGACAGCAACGAGGATGATGCAAGGCGCCCACAAGAGCATGATAGAGAAGCTCTCGATGCTCAGGATGCTACTTGGACAGATGAGGCGGAAACAGCTTCTGGCGCTCGGCCAGCGCAACAAGAAGGCTCGCGGGATATCGATGCGCTCGATGTGCAGGGCCTCTCGAACCGCCTTCAAAATCTAGCCACTCCCTCTAGCTCACCGCAGCTAAAACCTCGACGAGCAATCTCGTCTGCTGATTCGGTGCCTGCTCAAAGAGCACCTGTGAGAGTGCGCAACTCGGCACCTCCCCTCCAAAGCCCTTCTGCGAGCTCGAGAGCACGGCCTAGCTCGCTCACAGAACGACGTGCGCGACGCACGTCCTCGAGGCGAAGCAGAGGCTCGCGAGAGGACAGCCATCCTTCAATCAGCAAGCACAGTCTGGTTGCGGACGTTCATCTACCGGACGAGGACGCATCCACATTTCAGGACGTCCTGTGCCACATCTATCCACACCTGCAACTGCTAGTCACGTGGTACAACATTGGCGCTCTGATGCGCTTCGACGACAAGTACCAGATCCCATTCCTACGGAGGAGCTGCATTTCCTTTTTGAGGGCTGCATTGGCTGGAAGACCTATTGAAGCTATGGCTCTAGGTGAAAGGCACGGTCTAGAAGCGGAGTATAAGGAAGCGTCCAGACACGTGCTGGACAATATGCCATCCTGGTCATTGGAAGAGCTTAATGTGCTGTCGAAAGAGACGTTGCTAAAGCTGGAAAGAAAGAGGATCTGGTTCTTGGAGCGCATCCTCAAGTTGAGTTTGGCCAATCCTGCCAGGGATTACGAGTGCCACGCAGCCTGTCCGGATCCGAAAGCTTGCGCTAAGAGCTTGGGAGAGAGATGGCAAGCTGCGTATCAGGCCAGCACAAGGTACGGCCCGCCGCAACCTAGCGTTGTTTGGAGACATTTGAGAGAGTTGGAAGGAACGGGAGGTCAACCCGTTGCCGCTTGCCATAGAGCTAGCCAAGCTTGGGTTCAGCTCCTCTTCGATAGAATGTTCTCCATCACGGTCGGACTCAGTGGCACTAGACCTCAACCGAAATTTCTGAGCATCAAGCTCGTCGAAGGTGCTGGTCGATAGTACTGCGGCAAGAAACTTGATGCATGACTCAAGATTCCCTTTTTACGTTTGGCTCGTTTAGAAGCTCGTCTACGGAGATGCTGTGAGGCGCTCGCGCGGACCCCACTGCCCTGTCCCTCTCAGACTCGTTCGAGCATTGCGTGACATGCCTTCTCTCCTCGCAATGTCTTCCACCAACACACCCAATTGGGTCTGCCAATGTACTTTTCATCGGATACCCAATTTCCCAACGATCGAATCCGCGCTCTTGGAGGCTTGACGTCTGCACCTGCGCAGTCTTTTCAAGCGTTTGTCGTGACGAGCATGTATGTTTCCCAAGACTTCGTCGTGACTGAAGTGCACTTTGATGCTTGCCCTCCTGGCTAAGGATGAACAAATTCGCAGATCTGTACGAGATGCGACGGATCTCAAGGGTCTTCTTTAGCCGAAGCGATCATCATCAATGGCGTGCGGCGCGTGAACACTCACAACCACAGTACGCCACGATCCATAATTCACAACCATGCAACAGCGCGTCACCTCACCGCGACGTGCAATCGCTTCGCTTCGCTGATACAGACGCGGATGCTGATCGTCAACGTATACCTCCACATGAAGTCTGCTGCCAACCGCGGTATGACAGCACATGCATGCGGAGAAGAATACGCGAGGGATCGGGCAAACCGCGAGCGCGAAAGAGAGAGAGCCGGAGACCCTTAATTGCAGAGAGAGAGACCCTTGCTCCGATCTTGGACTTGGCCAGCACTCGTTATACTCCACTTTGCCGCAACCTACCGATGCCGATTTGCCGGCTGGGTAGGCTTCTTTCCTCCGCCGTGGGCGTGTTGTGTCGGCGCAGTTGCTGTCAGTGCCTGTGTGCAACGGCTTCCGCTAATTAGCTCGTTTCTTTGGTGAAGGATCATACGCGCGACACGACTGCTCGTGCCGGGGGCTGCATCGTGGAATTACGAAGGTTTGATCTTGTCATTGGCTTGGCTTTGGGACAATGGTTGAGGCTCGATAGCATGCGTGATCAAGTGGCCGCTCGATTGCCGCTGCCCTACCTTCTGCTCGCTTGCTCCATTGTTGCTGACAGATCAGGCCACAAGTACAGCTGTAGCCCTGCCTCGGCCGTCGATCGCAAATCGAGCAAGATCGCCAATAGTCATTCCTTGACGGATAGCGTTCAAAACCACGCTTGGGGATTCATCTTTCTCTCACTTTCCACCTGTCCAAACAGCTGGAGCCGACCCACTCACTGGCCAACTTTTGACGATATGGCGTCCATTGGGAGAACACCTGCTTCTGAACGGAGTCAGTACTTGACTCCTGCCTCGGAGCGTTCGCAGTACATCACACCGCCCTTGACGCCAGGTCTACTAAGCTCTGAGGGCCACGGAGGAAGCGCATTCGAAAATTCGGGTCGCAACTCGGCAGGCGAAGCTGGTCCTGGAAATGTTTCCTCGCCGAGTGATACAGGCTCGAGCAACTCGACGCAAGTGCCCGAGCGGTCAGGCACCGGGGCTCAAAAAGCTAACGCCGCGCTCGAGCGAGAAGCTGACGATGCTGGTGGCGATCTTGAAAAGAGCAGGGCAGAAAAGCAAAAGGAGGAAGAGGATGAGGAGAATCGTGTTGATTGGGATGGTCCTGATGATCCCGCAAATCCTCAAAATTGGTCATTGAGAAAGAAATGGTGGCTGTCGGGACTGGTCATCTTCTTGACCATCAACTGCACCTTTGCTTCGGCCGCACCCAGCGGCGCCGTAATGCCCGTCATGATGCAATTTCAAATTTCAGAAGTCATCGCTACCCTAGCGCTCACTTCGTCTTTCTTGATCGGATACTGCATCGGTCCGCTGTTCTGGTCAACATTTAGCGAGTGAGTGCCAATTCGATGCGTAGGTGTGAAACCATCATCAAGCAAGCAAGACTCACACACACGCCGTCTGGTCTCCGACGCAGGCTATTCGGTCGCAAGCCAATCTTCATCATCTCCATGTTCTCCTACACCGCATTCATCATCGGTCCCCCCCTTGCAAAGAACTGGTGGACCATCTTTATCACCAGACTTTTGAGCGGCGCTGCCGCTTCCGCACCATTGACCAATGCCGGAGGCCTGATAGCGGACGTGATGAACCCCACTCATCGAGGCTTTGCCATGAGCGCCTTTAGCGGATCGGTATTCCTGGGACCATCGCTCGCACCAGTCGTCGGCTCATTCGTCACCCAGACCGTTGGATGGGAATGGGTTTTCTGGGGTGAGTCCTCAGATGTTTGGGCTTTTGCGTCGATTTACCAGCTGACGTCGTGCGCTCCAATCGTGCAATGCATTCGCATTTTAGTTCTTCTCATCTACTCTTTTCTTAGTTGGGCATTTGTTGCATACTTTTTGGAAGAAACCTTTGCTCCGGTCTTGCTCCAGAAGAAGGCTGTGCGCTTGCGCAAGGAAGGTAATGCGCAAGCTTGGGCTCCCCTTGAACGTCAAGACTTTTCCTTTAAAGGAATCGCCGAGCGAACCCTTTTCCGACCTTTCCATATCCTCGCTTTGGAGCCCATGCTCGTCCTCATCACCATCTACATCTCGGTAGTGAGTGATGATACGTCTCTGGCTGATTGATGATCAACAGGAAGACATTGCTGAAGACTACTTCTCACTTCTTTTTTGTAGGTGTATGGTCTGCTGTATGGCCTGTTCGAAGGCGTCCCGGTCGTCTTTGCCACACTTCGACCCACCGAATTCAATCTGGGCCTATCAAGTCTTCCCTTTCTAGCGGTGCTGATCGGTACGACGGTCGGTGCGCTGTGGAATGTCAAGATGTGGTGGAAGTACTACGACCTTCAAGAGCTTTGGAAGGGCTCCCCGCCGCCTGA